TCAACAAGGTACAGTTCCTGGAGCAGCAGAACAAGATGCTAGGGACCAAGTGGAGCCTCCTATAGCAGCAGAAGATAGCTTAGAGCAAGATGGACTACATGTTTGAGAGTGACTTCAACAACCTTCCGCTGCAGCTGGACACTCTGGACCAGGAGAAGCTGAAGCTGGAGGCAGAGCTTGGCAACACACCTGGGCTGGTAGAGGACTTCAAGAATAAGTACAAGGATGAGATCAATCAGAGTACAGAGATGGAGAATGAATTTGTCCTCATCAAGAAGGATGTGGACAAAGCTCACGTGAAGAAGGTAGAGCTGATGAGATCACCTTCCTCATGCAGCTTTGTGAAGAGATCTGGGAGCTGGAGTCTCAGATCTCAGACATATCTATGGTGCTGTCCATGGACAACAGCTGCCCCCTGGACATGGTCAGCATGATTGTTGAGGTCAAGGCTCAGTATGAGGAGATTGTCAACCATAGCCAGGCCAAGACTGACAGCATGTACCAGATCAAGTATGAGAAGCTACAGGCACTAGCCTGAAAGCACGGAGGTGACCTGCATTGTACAAAGACTGAGATCTCCAAGATGATCCGGAACATCGGCTGGCTCCACGCTGAGATTGAGGGCCTCAAAGGCCAACCCCCTGTGAGGGCTTCCCTGGAGGCCACCATAGAAGATGCCAAGCAGCACTGGGAGCTGGCTCTTAAGGATGCCAATGCCAAGCTGAGCTGTCTGAGCTGGAGGCTGCCCTGCAGTGGACCAAGAAGGACATGGCGCAGCAGCTGCACGAGCACCAGGAGCCAGTGAACATCAAGCTGGCTCTGGATATTGAGACTGTCACCTGTAGGAAGCTGCTGGAGGGCGAGGAGAGCTGACTGGAGTCTGGGATGCAGAACATGAGCATCCGTATAAAGACCACCAGTGGCTATGCAGGTGGGCTGAGCTTGGCCTACAGGGACTTCACAAGCCCTGGCCTCAGCTATGGCCTGGGCTCCAGCTCCTTCAGCTGCACCAGCTCCTCTGGGGCCATGGCTGTGAAGATGATCAAGACCCGTGATGGGAAGCTGGTGTCCAAGTCCTCCGATGTCCTGCCCAAGTCCCCTCCCAGCCTACCCACCCTGGGGCTTCCCCAGAGCCTGTGGGGGAGGCCCTGTGCAGAGGAGCACAGGGAACAGGAGACCTATGTGGATTAGTCCATTTTCACACTGCTGATAAAGACATAGCCAAGACTGGAAAGAAAAAGAGGTTTAAAGGACTTACAGTTCCACACAGCTGGGGAGTCTTCACAATCATGGTAGAAGGCAAGGAGGAGCAAGTCACTTCTTACATGGATGGCAGCAGGCAAAGAGTGCTTATACAGGGAAACTCCCCCTTTTAAAGTCATCAGATCTCCTGAGACTTATTCAGTATCATGAGAACAACAGGGAGAAAGACCTGCTCCCATAATTCAATCACCTCCCACCAGGTCTCTCCCACAACCTGTGTGAATTCAAGATGAGATTTGGGTGGGGACACAGCCAAACCATATCACCACCTGAGGCTCAGCTCTAGCCCTTAGCCCACCTGTGGGGAGGGTTTACTGCCTGGGGTACCCCCCTTGCCCATGTCTCCAGCTATAAAACAATTCTATTGCTTTTTTCCAAAATAAAACCTCAACTAGCTCTGCCAACTGTATATATATATGTAATATCTGTGTGTTATAGATACTACATACATATGTAAGACCGAGACTGGCAGTGCCTAGAAGACATTCCAAAAATAAAATGAGCTTAGAAGAAGCTTAGAGCCAAGGAATCACTATTTCAAATTAAGGGGAAAACAATGATAAAGTTTATTCTGTGATAGTCATCCTCCTTTATCACCGCACTTCATCAAACTTCTGATGGAAGTAATAATGGAAGCACTTGGCTAGAGTGGCCGTGCTGTGTTTCCTGGTGCAGACTTGGAACAGTGACAGTAGATAACTCTTACCTCTCTACAAGAAATAGAAATAAGCAAATACTGTTTATGCCAGTAGTGTCTCTCAATCTTGGAACCCTTTCTTCCTTTTTTCTATTTCTTGTTTTCCTGTCTGTAACTAATGTACTGTCTTTCAAACTGCATATCTGAAAATACTTACTATTAAAGTACACATCATATGTAGAAAGATTAATTACAAGTCTCAGATTCTGATTGTACATGCATATGGCATTTAAAAAACACACACTAAAATTAAAAATTATAATATGCCAGGAAAGGAGGGAAAATGTAATTATACAAAACACTCATTTAAAACCATAAAAGGCAGAAAAATAATAGAAGGAAAACAAATAGATGACAGTAACAAATATGGTAAATATTAATGCAACTATATCATTAATCACTTGAAATGTCAGTAGACTAAAAGTACCAATTAAAAGGCATTGTACGCATTGATCAAAAAATAAGACAATATACACTGTCTACAAGAAACTCACTTTAAGTGTAAATACACATGTAGATTAAATATGTAGAGATAGGTGTACCATGTTAACATTAATCAAGAAAAGGCAGGGGTAGCTATAGATAGAGCATACTTCAGAGCAAGGAAAGTTACCAGGGATAGAGAGAGACGTTACATATGATAAGGGATCAACTCTCCAAAAAAACATATATGGTTGATTTTCGGTGTCAGTTTTACTAGGTTAACAGATACCCAGATAGATGGTAAACCATTATTTCTGGGCATGTCTATGCAGATGTTTTCTGGAAGAGATTAGCATTTGAATGCGTAGTCTGAGTAAGGAAGATATGCCCTCACGCGTGTAAGTGGGCATCATCCAATCTGTTGCGGGCCCCAGTAGAACAGAAAGGTAGAGAAAAGACAATTTACTCTCTCTTCTGGAGCTCGGACATCCATTTTCTTCTCCCCTTCCATTTTCTTCTTCAGAACTCTAGGTTCTTGGGCTTTTGGACTCTAGAATTTACACCAGTGGCCCTTGAGGTTCTCAGGGCCTTTAGCCTTGGACTGAGTTACACCATCGGCTCCCCTAGTTCTCAGGCCTTTGGACTCAGACTGAATTATAGCACTGGCTTCACTGATTCTCCAGCTTATGAGACTTATTACTTCTATAACTGCATAAGCCAATTTCCACTAAAAATCATATATATATACACACATGTATGTGTATATGTATCTATATCCATACATCTTCTATTGGTTCTGTCTCTCTGGAGTGCTCTACTACAGGTAACAATCTCTAATGTGTATGTACCATTAGAGCATTTAAACATATGAGGCAAAAACTGACAGAATTGCAAGAAAAAATAGAAGAATCCACTAATATAATTGGAGATTTCACCCCTCCATCATAAATAGACCCAGCAGGCAGAAAATCAGTATAGACATAATTTAACTCAACAAAACAATGAATCAAATGGATATGATGAACATCAGTAGACTGCTACATCCAACGGCAGTAGAACACACATTCTTCTCAAGCTCAGATGGAACACTCACCAAGATAAATTATATTCTGGACCAGTTTAAAAGACTAGAAATCATATGTCTACTTTGGAATTAAACTAGAAGTCAGTAACAGAAAGATTGCTGGAAAATCCCTAGTACTTGGAGATTAAACAGCATTTCTAAGTAACTCTGGGTCAAAGAAGAAATCTCAAGATAAATTTTTTAATATTTTGAACTAAATAAAATGCAAATACAACTTATCAAAATTTGTAGGATGCAATTAAAGAAGGTTATTTTTCTATTCACCTATCAAAGGACATCTTGTTTGCTTCCAAGTTTTGCCAATTATGAGTAAACCTCTACGAACATTCACATACAGGTTTCTGTGTGGACCTAAGTGTTCAACTCCTATGGGTCAATACCAAAGGAATGTGTAAGAAACTGCAAAACTGTTTTTCCAAAGTGGCTGTATGACTCTGTCGCCCGGGCTGGAGTGCAGTGGCATGATTTCAGCTCACTGCAACCTCTCCCTCCCAGGTTCAAGCAATTCTCCTGCCTCAGCTTCCTGAGTAGCTGGGATCATAGGTGCGTTCCACTGGGTCCTGCTAATTTTGTATTTTTAGTAGAGATGGGGGTTTCACCATGTTGGCCAAGCTAATCTTGAACTCCTGACCTCAGGTGATCTACCCCAGCAGGCCTTCCAAAGTGCTGGGATTACAGGTATAAGTCACTGTGCCCGGCCAATTTTATTATTTTATTTCAATAACTCAGTAGCTCAACTTTGAGATTTTGCCCTAAGAGAAGAGCTCATGTATATCCTGGCAAGAGAAATTGTGATTTCAGAAATAAAAGTAACTCACTATAAATTTTTGGTGTTTTTTTTAAGTTTAACCTTCTGGAAAAAAAGTTTTTAGTATTCATTCATTCATTCAACAATGAATTCTGTGGTTTCTTTTTACATTTCTACTTTTTTTTTTTTTTTTTTTTAGATAGGGTCTTGCTCTGTTGCCAGGCTAGAGTGCAATGGTGTGATCACACCTCACTGCAGACTTGAACTCCTGGGAGGCACACACCACCCATGCCCAGCTAACTTTTTAAATATATTTGTGTATAGATGGGGTCTCACCATGTTGCCCAGACTGATAGCGAACTGCTGGCCCCAAGCGATCCTCCTGCCTTAGCCTCCCAAAGTGCTGGGATTACAGGCATGAGCCAGCATGCCTGGCCTTCTTTTTACTTTTCTTAATGTGGCTTCTAGAAATTTTGAATTAAATAACGTGGCTTGTATTTGTGCCTTGCATTATATTTCTATTGGACAATTCTCTAAGGATTGCACTTATTTTCCATAAATTAATATATAATTTCATTAAGTCAAAGTTCTTATTAGAAATATTATTACTTGATCTTTTAAAAATAAATAAATGATGCACACTGTTAACATAGTCCTGTTACTGAAATTTGAATACAGGTGTGAGTTTGTAGTAACCTACTAAGACCAAAATCGTTTGATTTTTTTTTTTTTTTTTTTTTTCCATGTATCTCCTGTCTGAACTTCGGTGACTCTTCACAAAATAGTACGGTAAGAAAATTATTTCCAGCCATTTCAGGCTTTTGCAGACTTTCTGCATTAACAGAGTTACGGACAACAGACTTAGTGTCCTTTGCTTGTGACAGCCTCCCTAGCTGCCATTGCTGGCAAGTTGTAAAGGGTGACCACTGCACCCTAGCCTGTCCTAGGAAGCCCCACGTGAGCTCTGTGAGAGCCATGCTGCTGGGGCTGCTCCCTACTCCTGTTTTTAGAAACAAGCATATAATTACTTCATTGATAAGTCGCTGTGGAGCTGGCAACCAATGAAAGGGAAAGAGACAAAGGAGGAAAAGAAGAGTGGGATGATTTTTTTTTCTGGTAGGGTGGAGTTCATTTCCATGGCTTGATTTTCACACAGGAGATGGTGTTGCATAATTCTGTTTGAACTTTCTTTTCAGCACTACTAAGAATTATAATGAAGTAAAATTTTTCCATTTAATCCATGTTAATTTATCTTTTTGAATATTACTAATGAGGTTCCTTATTTTTCTCAAAATTGACTGCTGAAGGCCAGATGCAGTGGCTCACGCCTGTAATCCTAGCACTTTTGGAGGTCAAGGCGGGTAGAACACGAGGTCAGGAGTTCCAAGACCAGCCTGGCCAAGATAGTGAAACCCCATCTCTACTAAAAATACAAAAATTAGCTGGGCGTGGTGGCACGCGCCTGTAGTCCCAGCTACTCATGAGGCTGAGTCAGGGGAATCGCTTGAACCTGGGAGGCAAAGATTGCAGTGAGCCGAGATCGAGCCACTGCACTCCAACATGGGGGACAGCAAGACTCTGTCTCAAAAAAAAAAAGAAAAAAAAAATTGACTGCTGAATATCTGACAGAGCATAAATCAAATGTATTCTAAAAAAAAGGGAAGAGAGAAATAGAATCTTGTACTAGATAGAAAAGATGCATTATAATCTTTCCAAGGTTAGGTAGTGTTGAAATGATTTTTACCTTTTGTGTTCTTTTTAAGAAATATATTTTCAGTGTAGTTCAACACTTACAGTCACAAGTATATGTATAGTTCTTAACTTGGAGAATTCTGTTTCATATTACCTAACACCACACTTAACTTTTAATACCATCACTTAGCCAGGAATCTCCCAGGGCTACTTTAGGTTTAGATTTATTCCATTATCTAGATCTTAGAACAAAAGTTCGGGATGCGGGTTAAAAAAAAAAAAAGATTTATTTCATTGTCCATTTCTACTTTAGCCCCACCTATGAAAGAAGACACATAACACACCTGGTGGTAGAGAAACTGGTTTATATGCCCCTCTTAGAATAACTCTTCAGGCTCTGTTACAGCCCTGGGTTCATGCATGATAAAGTAGACAGCAAGACCACCATACAGTGCAGAGGAGTGGAAAGAGAATAAACAGAAAAGGAGATGAAAATAGACCAAGTGGAGAAAGGCCTGGTCAAAAAAGGAAGATCACTATGGAACAATAGAGAGTTGAAAACCGAAGTGACACCCAATAAAGGACAGGTAGGAAAAAAGCAGGTAAGGGAGAGATAGATACTCTCCCTTACACAAGTGTGGGGAATAAGGAAAAAAGAAAACTGGCTATACCTTACCTAAATATAAGAAGCTAAAGGTCATTATTAATAGAATTCTCTGTAGCAGTGCCACTTCTCTTCTCCAACTTGTAATTTTTTTTTTTTTGAGATGGAGTCTCGCTCTGCTCTGTTGCCCAGGCTGGAGCGCAGTGGCGCAATCTCGGCTCACTGCAACTTCCCAGGTTCACGCAACTCTCTGCCTCAGTATCCCGAGCAGCTGGGATTACAGGCGCCCTGCCATCATGCCCAGCTAATTTTTGGATTTTTAGTAGAGACAGAGTTTCACCATGTAGGCCAGGCTGGTCTTGAACTCCTGACCTCATGATCGACCTGCCTCATCCTCCCAAAATGCTGGAATTGCAGGTATGATACACTGCGCCCAGCCCAACTTGCCACTTTTAAAGAAATATTTCCAGTAAAGCTGTGCTGTTCAATTTGAGAGCCACTAGCCACCTTGTCTAAATATAAAAAATTAAATGAAATTTGCAGCAGTATCTTAGATAATATCCAGTCTGAATACAAGAAGACTAATTAGCCAGCCTACAATCTCAAGATTCTTTAAACCAACTGTGTCTAATTTACAAAGTTTACAACTCACATGTTAAACCCTGAAATAGTTATCATGATGGCTATATGGGAACTTTGACTTTTTATAGTTATTTAAATGACCTTGTGGCTTACATGTAAGCATGTTAAGTAAACATTTTAAAATATACTATCATGCCAAATCTAATTCCCTTTTATTTTTCTTGTATTTCCCTTGGTTTACCACTTTTTAGGGAATTTTTGGATTTTAACCCCTCGTCAATAATAGAAGGAAAGTCTAGAAATGTATTTAGCAGTCTGAATTTAACCTAAACATTATGATAGGCAGAAGTCAAGCAAAGACTGTTTTTACTCTTGTTTGGATAACTAAAAGGGGTGTTTAGCCAACAATATGTAGTTTCTGTCAGATTTTAAAATATTATTTGCAAATTCTAAACTAATGAAACAATTTTTAATTTAATGAACAAAAAAGCCACAAGCCTTATTTTATTTCAGCCTCTAACATTAAATTGATGTGGCTGCTGTCGAACACAGACAACTTCACTCTGGTATCCTCGGATGAGTGTAGTTGTGGAATAAAAAACGATTGCGTCATTTCTTTAATATTAATTTAAGTTTTTGCTATTATGTCGAAAGTACTTTCCAATCTTCATTTCTTAGTGTCTCGGGTCCTGGGTGTAGATTTCTAAGTTCTTTGATCTTAGGATCGCTCATATGAGCTGAAAAACAGTTTGTTCTCTGGTTAAGTTCCTTTCTTCAGAAAAAGTATCCAATTTAGGGTCTGCATTTTAAGAACTATTGACAAATAATGAAAAATTGGGAAAAGAAGTTGGAGAATAGTTCTAACATGGTTTGAATTATAGCAAGGATGAACTGTGTAAGAAGATAGTCTTATTTTTATTTTTAAATTCTCTGAATGAGACGATCAGTGATGACTTTGTTGTAGTGTGAAAACAAGTAGGGACCTTGGGAAGCTGCCAAAGGCTTTCTAGCTCTGGGTTCACCTGTGAACCGCTGATTCCTACAGGAACACTGGACATTCCAATGCCTAAATGTTAACCATCAATTAACCCAGTAAACCTGCAAGATGGAAATGAAGATTTGTTTTAATGTGTTTCACTGGATTCTTTAAAGTAAGGGAAATTTCAGCTGTTTATAGTTCTGTCTTAAATTTTTCCTCTCTTCCTTCTTTTCCTCTCATTTTTTGTAGCACTTCTGGGGCCCAGTAGCCAACTGGGGTCTTCCCATTGCTGCCATCAATGACATGAAAAAGTCTCCAGAGATTATCAGCGGACGCATGACATTTG